GTGGAAGCGACGTTATAGGGCGTACGTGATAATGAATGTGTTGTTTTTCAGATAATGGATTTGAAACAAGAACTTTAAGTATGCAGACAATAGATACAGAATCCTCCGATAGAAAGGTATGTTGTCTGACCTCTTACCTATCCTTACCATCTCTTTATCAACCCTCGCTGGGAATATCTCGCTTGTCTGCATGAAGTCTTAGTAACCAGTGATTGGGACGATGTACCGAGATACTGTTGAACTTTTGTGCGCTGAATCTTTATCCCTAGTGAATTTTCGCCATGAGTTAGCTATAATCTCAAGGTTACGGGCAATCACTGCTCACTACTTCATTGAATTCATGTAAAATCTGTGCAAATGGTTACCATCTACCATGTATGCACATATGTTACCGAAATTGGTAACTGACAGAGGGTGTGCATAGAATATCTTAGTTTCAGATGAGATATGAAGATATCGTATGCATTTTAAAGCAAACGGAGCATTGGACGCTCAACGTTGGAGCTGAGGAAACAGTTCACTTTACAGACTTGTAACTCAGATTTGACAGTGGAATGCGCAGTCAAGAGACCGTTTTCGCTGGTACATTCCTGTTTCGGACGGTACCGCCCTGTACGTAGTATGCGCTGTACACCCCAGTATCTTGTTGATTGCACCACCCTGGTTTTATTTTGACTTTTAGCCAGCGCACTCGAAATAAAGGTCATTCCGTTTGAAAATACGATCACGTCGCTGATGATGATGTCAATTAGATTCATGGGCACTACATTGGTTTCAACAAAAACAAACTCAGTTGGGTTCTTTTCAAAAGGGCTGTGGAACTAGAATGAAAGACACAGTGTCAAACAAGCAAACTGATGACTCCGGCAGCAGCAAAAACTTGGAGTACAAAAGCGTCCAAATCCAAATTAATCTGATTGATAATGCTTTTGAGAGCTTTACTAATCACTAGCTTGGACAATGGCTCAAAACTGGAATACGATATCTATTTCAGAGTTCCTGAGCCAATGACCTTGACCCTGTGACTTCCAGACCACTTACGATCAGAAAGCCAATGCGCAACTGCCTCTTAATACTTTCCAGTATGCATTAGCGGATATAGATTAAAGGTCAAGGAGACAAATGACCTTTGCTCAGGAAGTCAGCTAATCATCCAAGTTTGTTTGCTGCCAGAGTCTTGTTTGAACATATTTTGACATTTAATACATTTTCACGACGAAGTAGCATTATTTAATAAAACCATATGTTTCTATTTACAAACCGTTATTAAATTGTATATCAAATGTTCACCGGGTTGTACAGATTGAAGAGATATTTCATGTGCCACAACCGGAAGTTGCAAGGAATATCAAGCCAAGAACGGCCGGAACATACAGACATTAAGGTGGTCACTTTTACGGCGCGTGATATACGAAGGCAGGTGTAGCCTGTCATCCCAATCAAATCTTCCACTTGAGAAACAATGGAACATTCACAACTCTACCCGACAGGAAGCAGAAATATAAATATGGGTTAGACCAGATCACACTTATTGTCAAAGCTAGATAATAATGGGATGGACTATTGGATGAAAGTATAACTCACATGGATGGACTTTCAATCAGTGTTTGAAGTACCTTTATGCTCATAACTCCATTGGTGGAGTATAACCGTTAACAAAGGAGGTAATACGGAGTATAAGCAGTTAACATGAGTATATCTTAGATATCACGGGATTAGCATAGTATATCACCAGGCGACCGTTAACATGGTATATCATGAGTATAACCGTTAACATGGTATATCTTGGTATAACCGTTAACATAGTATATCTTGAGTATAACCGTTATCATAGTATATCTTGGTATAACCGTTAACATAGTATATCTTGAGTATAACCATTTGGCAGTATATCTTGAGTATAACCGTTAACGTAGGCGCCAATAATGAGTATAACCGTTAACATGGTATATCTTGAGTTAACGGTTATACTCAAGACTCTCTATAATAACGGTTATACTCAAGATATCTATGATAACTTTCGATAACTATAATTATATCTTGAGTATAACCGTTAACATATGGTATATCGCAGGTATAACCGTTAACGAAGTGTATCTTAATTATAACGTTTAACGTATATCTTGAGTATAACCGTTAACCTTAATATATCTTGAGTATAACCGTTAGCACTTGGTTTATCATAGTATAACCATTAACATAGGTATATCTTAGACCGTTAACATGGTACTATCTTAATTATATTTAACATGGTATATCTTGAGTATGACCGTTAACAGAGTATCTTGGTATAACCGTTATCATAGTATATCTTGAGTATATTCGTTAACATAGTATATCTTGAGTGTAACGGTTAACATAGGTATATCTTGAATTATGGCTCGTTATCATGAGTATATCGCGGGTATAGCCGTTAACATAGTATATCTTGAGTATAACCGTTGTATCATGAGTATATCTTGAGGTACTAACCGTTAACATAATTATATCTTGAGTATAACCGTTAACATAGTATATCTTGAAGGTATAACCGTTAACATAGTATATCTTGAGTATGACCGTTAACATAGTATATCACCAGAAATTATAACCGTTAACATAGTATATCTTGAAGGTATAACCGTTAACATTCAGTTGGAATCCGTTACTTCTACAGCGATGTATTGTGGATCCCATGATAATCCCAGCTACGTTTAGGGCCCGAATCCATGGTAGGACTCTTATCGTGTCGGATTCCTCTCACATGTACATATTGACGTGTCTGAATGATATGGCAGATTCAACACGTAGCATCTGTGCTCGCAGATTCAAACCACGACACGTTCTGGTCGGGATATAAGTGGACTTATGACCGTATGATATAAATAATTGGCATATTCTTTAGAATATAGAACATTTTATGGATAACAACTTCTTTATTTATTTCATTGAGTTCGACGTTCCGATACAGATTCTTCTACCGTTGTCAAACGAGATGTTTCTTGCTTGACAACTGTACAAATCTGTATCAGCTTTAATCACACTCAGAAAAGAACTGTTATCCATAAAAATATTCTATATTAATACGATATCAACTTCTAAAATACCACTCAAAACAAGATATTCTTTAAGAGTTAAACCAAAACCATCCGAACTCATTATATGCTGGAAGCTGAGAAGGAGTTCATTGTGTACGATATGGCAATTGTGGGAGGAGCTTCATAGCGCATCGTCATCATCGGACAGTCAAACATACATGAATTTTTATATTCCACAAACATAAATTATCACACGATAGATGTAATAATGGTAACACTTTGTCATTTCTTTTTTGTATATGCACGACCTTCGCGTATTCTGCAGCAGCTTTCAAATTCAAAGTGCAGATAGTCTCGATTTCTTCCATTGTGCAGTCTCAGTCTGCTTTGTAAGAACAAATCTGTTTTTCTCCAACGATGCTAAACACAGCACTTCCTTTCTTCACTGCCGGACCAGGGCCTAAAACGCAACTGCTGCCACACCTCTCTTTAGAAAGCAATTCTTCTCCTGGATCAAGGTCGTCTGCCAGGATTGATCCTAGAAACTTCTTTAAAGCCTTGTCACGTGTGTGTCACCTAGGCCATGTATGTTAACGTGGCTGAAAATGGCGACTGCACAACCGTTTACAGACTAGCCGCATCCCTTACTAAAATGGCGGAAGGTATCCGGATTTAAACTGCTTTTCATCAATGTCGAATCTAGTAATAGCGTACACCTTCATGGATCCACAGGTGACGTCATTTTATCATATTCACCAAGACATTTCCAGCGGACTTATTTGTAGCATGCATGAGTATATTATTATGGTATTATTATATTATTGCCTATGATTTACCAAATATTATATTTGCAACCAAATCTATCCGACGTAACTGTATGTATTTATTTGGTAATTCATTTACAGTACATGTTACAGGTGTATCAGAGCCAAACCCACTTTGAACACGGGAATTCAATTACTATTGACGTCTATCATGTTCAGCATTCGCCGCTGATTCATACTATCATGCGTGCCATTATAATTATAATCCTCTACTTTGATAAAATATGCCACGCAGAGGGTACAAAAACAACGAATTACGCAATATATACATCCCTGTACGTCTGTGTCGCATTTTCTACATCTCAGGATCGTCCTGATACCCGTGTCTATTCGATGCTTTTTTACAACAGTTCGATTTTGATTTGCTCACGAAGGCGTGTTTTGCAAACGCGACGTCAACGAACAATAGAGAAACTGTCCGGTTGTTGGAGTCATCCGCACGTATGATTTATCATTGTAAACGCCCATAATACTCAAAGTTGGTCCATTAATCATGTGGGGTCCAACACGATGTTTTGATTCAGCCCTGGTTTAAGCCTCAGTCCACAGATTCCAGGATTATTTGCCGACATTGTGATAGGACCAATCCAATTTAACATTTTTCAAAGGAAGTCACAGTCAAAAGGATCCTGTTAATTCCGAGGCGGGGGAGGGAATTCCGCAAATTTATTTAAAAAACCCCATTTTATTTAATCACGACAGTAATCGAAGATATTGTTCAGAGAGCGTTCCGATTCTCCACGTTCTCAATCCAGATATGATCCGATTTGTACATCTTCCGCATGGTAAAAACGACCGAAATCTGTCCCCGACAGCGTCAAGAAGACATTTGGAAAGATCACGGACCTCAATCGGCAGAAACGGCAATAAAACATTTCTCCAAATCATGCCGTTCATTATTGACAGCGTCCAGGTTCCGCGGGACGCCGTTCAGACAAATCGTCAGACAACACAGGGCATTGTTAAGTTTTGATTCAGAGACAGCAGAATCTATTAAAACACAGTCACGATTTGTAATCCGACTGGACAAAGTCGGCTAGAGTTTCCCGAATGTTACAGGGACGACCCTACTGTCCGGAGTGCTTGGCCAACCTCTTTGGACCTTTCCCGATCCGTAGGTCTCTGTTACGAACATTATGCGACTGAGCCCAGACAATGATAGAACATTCCAGATAATTGAGGATAGTAATCCGACTTTTTTTCCTTTTCATGTCGTAGCGCTTTGTCGGATCTCAATCAGAACCATATTATAATCGTCACTGTGTGGACGCCGCA